CGGCAGAGCAGCGGGGACTACGACAGTGACGAGGGCGCTCACAGGAAGCACTGCCAGCAGAAATCCCCGTCGCAGTACAGCGACGACTATGACTCCGGCAGCGACCACTCCAGGAGCCGCTCCAGGTCGGGGCGGAGGCACTCCTCTCACAGGTCCTATTCGACCAGCTCTGATGCCTCCTCGGACCACAGCCGGTACAGCCGTCGGAGAAGTTACTCGGATGATAGCTACAGCGATTACAGTGACCGGTCAAGGTGCCATTCAAAGCAGTCCCACGACTCGGAGGATGACTCTGACTACAACAGCTCGAATCACAGATCAAAGCGGCGCAAGTACTCCTCTTCTGAAGATGACTACAGCTCGAGTAGGAGCAGGTCGAGGAGTCGAAGCAGGAGCCGAACCCACCCTCGAGGTAGGTCAAGAACAAGGAGCCGGGGCAGAACACGCAGTAGCAGCTGCAGCCGCAGTCGAAGCAAGAGGAGAAGCCGAAGCGTAACAGGTCGCAGCTGGAAACGGAGCCGCAGCTATAGCAGGGATCGCAGCCGCAGTACGAGAAGCCACTCGCAGAGGTCTCTCTCGCGAAAGGGCTCTCGAGGCCACGAGAGCCCCGAAGAGAGGAGGTCCGGGAGAAGAGACTTCATCAGGTCCAAAATCTATCGCTCGCAGTCTCCTCACTATTTCCGGACAGGCCGAAGTGAAGGATCGTCGCTGAAGAAAGAGGACGGCAAAGGAGAGGATCTGAAAGGATCTGGCTCACTCTCCCAAAACAGCAGCAGCTCTGGCACGGGGAGGGCCTCGGAAGGTGACTGCAGTCCGGAGGAGAGAAACTCCGTCACTGCAAAACTACTCCTGGAAAAGGTTCAATCCAGGAAGGTTGAGAAGAAGCCCTGCATCACTGACGAGATGCTGGCAGGGGCAAACAAGGTGGGCATAAAGCTCAAAGATCCTCCCCAGGGCTACTTTGGCCCGAAACTTCCTCCTTCCTTAGGCAACAAACCCGTTCTCCCCTTAATTGGGAAACTGCCAACCATTCGAAAACCAAACGCCAAAAGATACGAAGAGTCTGGCTTGGAGAGGGGCGAGGAGCAAGAGCTGTCGGATTCTGAGGATGTTTCCCAAGGCATCGAGGAGGCTCAGTTGGCTGGCCAGTCTCTCCTGGAAGAAGTGGTGATGGTAATTCAGGACAAACCTCTGGATGAGCAGAAACGTGACGAACCTGCCGTGGAAATGCCGTCCATTCCCCTGGAAGCACCGGCACTCCCCGAGTGCTTTGGTTCTGGAGATCTGGTCATGCCGCACAACTTCCTCTCAGATCCGAGCGATGGCGATGGGCTAGAACCTATGGACGGGGGCAACCAGCCGGTCCCAGTGGAAACCAGTATGATGCCCTTAGTTCCAGATGTCGAGCACTTTCCTGGCTACGTGCCTCAGAGCGGGGAGCCGAGCATCGAAGGGGATCGGGAAGGAGGAGAAGATTCCTCTCTAGCACCACTCGAGAGCCAGCCGATCACTTTTACACCCGAAGAAATGGAGAAATACAGTAAGCTGCAGCAAGCTGCTCAGCAGCACATTCAGCAGCAACTTCTGGCAAAGCAGGTCAAGGCCTTTCCTGCCTCGGCGGCCCTGGCGCCGGCAGCGCCTGCCCTGCAGCCCATCCACATTCAGCAGCCGGCGGCGGCATCCGCAACCTCCATCACCACCGTGCAGCATGCCATCCTGCAGCACCACGCCGCCGCGGCCGCCGCCGCCATCGGGATTCACCCTCACCCCCATCCTCAGCCTCTCGCTCAGGTTCATCATATACCCCAGCCCCACTTGACACCTATTTCATTATCCCACTTGACCCACTCGATTATTCCAGGGCACCCTGCTACGTTTCTAGCCAGCCACCCCATCCACATCATTCCAGCGTCAGCTATCCACCCGGGCCCCTTTACTTTTCATCCGGTTCCTCACGCTCTTTATCCAACCCTTCTTGCCCCGAGACCCGCTGCCGCTGCGGCCGCTACAGCGTTACATCTTCACCCTTTGCTGCACCCCATTTTCTCAGGACAGGACTTGCAGCATCCACCCAGTCACGGCACATGAAGGACAAAATGAAGTAACCTTGGAGGAAAGAGAATATTTTGCATTTTGGGAAGGGGTTGAAGTTGATGCAGCTGGCAGGTGAGGCCTGAGAATTTCCTTTCACTCTTTAGCAGCCAAAGAAGCCAGAGGCTCGAGGGATGGGTAGCAGCAGGCGGCGGGTCAGTTCGTAAGCGTTGTGTATATCCGCTACCAGGGACTGTCTCACGTCCCCGACACCTCCGTGCACGTAGCAGCACTGTATCCTAGAAGAACCATTTCACGTGTAGACCAGCGAGACACTTAGGCTTTTTTTTTCCCCTGGATTCTTACATTTGGCCATCTTCCTTCTGCCGCCTTGTATATGATAAATGAGATTTCGTACACACTAATAGGTCTCTAAAAATCCTTTTAATGAGGTCATCTAATTAAAATAGTCAGCATGATTGAATCCAGCTTGTAATCAGTGACAAAACATTCAGTAATTGACAGCTGTGGATCCTGGCGAGGAGACCGATGGAAGGGCAGTGCCACTCTTGTTTTGGCTGGGCCAGTACCAGTTTTCAGGCATTACAGGAGATTTCTTGGCACCCTATCGCTGCACCCCTGGGGTTTCTTTTCTCGGCGTGAGCAGCAAAGGTGGAAGTAAGATCTTATTTTAAAGCCCAAGAGAGGAGCTGCGCGTCTGCTCAGCGCTCCGACCCTTCTCCATCCTGCATTAGCATTCTCCTGGGCGAGGACTGCACCTTGACGCCTTCTGGATATCCTGGACTGGAGAGAGGTTCTCGGTTTGGTCGGTGATTTCAATCTGGGCTTTGACCACTCTTCTCCTGGGGCGGGGGGGAATATCACTCTGACTTCTGTCTTTTGCGGTGTTGGGAAAGAGGCACTCGGATGAGAGAGAAGGAAAATCCCTTTAGGAATCGAAGCAATACAGAGGACTGGGGAGAGTGGCGGGGGTATGTAAAGTGTATTCTTTCCTCTGTAATACTGATGGTTTCCTTATTAATTTATAGGATTTTTTTTTAATGTAAAGAATTGCACTGAACTCTGTAAACAAAGATGCTGCTTTTTGTAGCTCATATAAAAAGGTTACATTTGTAGTATACTGCAATAATATTTTTTACAGCCAGTTCTTTTAGTGGTACTTGTTCTGGTGGCTTTTGTGTAAATATGTTTGCTGTAGGTGAAATAAGACACTTGTAAAGGTTCAACTTTATAGTTTCAGCTAGATGCAAAATGACTAAGCATGTATATTTTATCAAGCTCATGTATTTTTGAAGTTTTTATGTACTATAAAATGTAAAAAAAAAAAATCTTCATTTAGCATTTTGCAGAAGAAAAAAAAAAAGTGAGACTTGGACTAGGTGAGGTGCGTGGACGACACCGGTGACTCTAACAGCTAATGAACGGCATCGCATTGGAAGGCGGCGGTGGCTGCCGGCTTTGCGGAGGGAAGCAGCCCGGGCACGCTGCGTGCTCCTCGTCTTTGCTAAGCAGCTGTTTATAGGAATCGACACTGGAGGCAGTCTCAGGAGCGTCAGGAATTTGGGTTGTCTCCCAGAGTATAAAATACCCCCTTTTTTTTTCTTTTTCTTTTTTTTTCCCCTGGGTTTGAACCGGTGATTTGCCGGTGCCAGCCCGGCTGTGCAGTTCAGTACAGTCTTCTGGTGAAGGAAGAGCCTTTTAACCGTAACCGTGTGCCATCTTACACGCAGGGAGAGGTGGTTTAGGACTAATCCCTTGAGGCTGTGCCTGCCTGTGATGTTCCATAAGGGATTTCTCTGTTCGTTCTGGCATCATCCACTGGCTGCAGATAACGCTGCCTGTGGGAGCCTTCTCCATCCACGGGCTCTTCCCGTGGCACCGGCACGAGTTGCTGCTGTCCCCGCTGACCTGGGTTATTTCAGGTTCGGGTCCTCCTCGTGTTAGAGCGG